GTAGGATATATTCGTGCATGCTTAATTTTATACTCTTCGAGTGATGTCTCTGTTGGTGGTTCATGTTGGTACAGTTGTTTAAGCCATACCAATTTCGTAGTCATTCCCTTACCACATTGTGGTGGTTCCTCCCCTAAGATGGAACTCCATACACCAGCACCTAGCTCCGTTGGACCATTTATAGCTTTACCATCAACGGGAAGCCCCCATAACATACTAAAATCTTTCAATGTAATTGTGTATTCACCATTTGGAAGATGAAATGTATGAGTTTCGGGCCTCCACTGTTCTAATAATTCTATAATTAATCTTGAATCGATGTACGTAGAAGCTATTGTAGATATGTGATAGAAACCACATATTTGTAGATACGGGATTATGGCTGGATGTGGTTTAAGTGGTTTGTGAGCCCTAGCTCTAAAATTTGAAATATAATCCTCATCAATCTATATTAAAAATAAATAATATTTAACAATAATTAAAAAATAAACATTTAAATTAATATGCAACATAAATATTAATAATATTGAAAGAACTAAAAGAACTTACAACATCAATATTTTCTCTTGTTTCCCTATGTTTTGTACCAAACCAAAGCATATTAGGCATAATGTTAAAATGAAGAATAAACAGAACTAAATATTAGAAGACGGTGAAGAGTGTAGAGTGAAGAGTGTTTATGTGAGAAATGAGATGAGAATGATTGAGTTTTTATAGGGAAAAATAGAGTGATGAGAGATAGTAAAGACATTATTACACAATTCAATAGATTTGTGTTGGTACACAACAACATTAAATTATACGTTTGAGTAATATTATTGTGAATATCGTAAATTACACAGTTTCGTACACAATGATAAAACTTTATCGACTGATCTACTGAGTCTAACATACAACTCAAACGGTGTCTTATTAACACCAATACGAAAATCCTCAAACATTTTAAATACATTTGCATTCGTATCTAACTTTTTAATATCATGCATCAACACTCCATTTGCATTGATGATAGTGCGCTTGAAAAGTATCTTCGTAATGCTCTTATTTATATTTGTGACTTGGCGCAATTGATTTTTCAAGTGAATGAGTTATAGACATTGCAACTGATGAATTATATAGAATAATGTATATTGAACAAAGTATCAAAGCCATTTTGATGTGAAATCTGTGTCGTTTCCCGTTGATTTTATAGATGGAACGCATGCAAAAGCGCAATAAACCTTTTGCACGTTTGTGCCATTTGAGATGGCGAAGGTATGCAGCCTGTCCACTCACATCATTTGAGATGGAGAAATCATACATGCAACAATTTCTTTCTGGAACCTTCATAGAACTTGAAACATTGTCTGTATATTCAAATGAAGGAACACAAATTGGTGGTGCAAGAATTTTTCATCGTCTTTTTTGGGCCTTTCAACCTTGTATTAGGGGTTTCGCATATTGCAAACCAATAGTGCGGGTAGATGGTACATGGCTATATAGAAAATATAGGGGCACATTGCTCCTGGATGTTGCACAAGATGGGAACGATAACATTTTTCCAATCACCTTTGCATTGGTTGAAGATGAGACGGGAGGGGCTTGGAGTTTCTTTTTTGAAAAATTTGAGACTCCACACCACACCTGTCAGATATATGTTTGATATCTAACCGACATGAGTCCATAAAGAATTCCTACGATAACCTAGACAATGGCTGGCAGAACCCTCCATGATTACGTGTGTATTGAATTAGGCACGTCACACAAAACTTTATGCGAGCGATCAAGGATAAAGATCTTCGCAAGAAAGTTGTTAACACGAGTAATTTATTCTCTATTTTCTATATTATAAGCTCTTCAACTTTTAAATATATAGTTCTTTTATACTAATTTTTTTAATGCATATACACATGGTATACACTGAATGAGTCTACATACGCATACTACTGGGAGGAGATCCTCCAAACAAACACAAAGGCTTTCAACTGGGTAGAGAATCTTCCAAAAGAAAAACAGTCGCGGGCTTACGACGGAGGAGCACGATGGGGCCACATGACAACCAACCTTGTTGAATCATTGAACTCAGTGCTGAAGGAAACCCACAATTTACGTATTACAATACTAGTGAGATCAATATACTTCAGGATAATAACATTGTGGGGGGAACGAGGAAATGATTGGACAAAAAAGTTGACATCGGGGAAGGAATTCACAGATAACTGCATGAAAGGGATTGCAGAAGAAGTAGAAAAGTATCACAGTTACAATGTATTGGCTTTTGACCGTGAAAGACATTATTTCGTTATCCAAGAGATGGTTAATAATAACGAGTGTTGGCCACTTATTTATTTCAACGTCGACCTCCAAAAACGAACATGTGACTGTGGGAAATTTCAAACTTTTCATGTGCCTTGCTCACATGCTATTGCGGTTTGTTCTCACATTAATCACGATTATGCTAAGTTTATCCCTCATGCGTAAGAGTTTTAAACGTCTTCAAAGTTTACGAACAAAGTTTCATCGGTGCTCCCCAAGAAGATAACTGACCTCCATATCTAGACAATACTATTTTGTATAACGAAAGGATGCGACGAAACAAAAAAGGTCTCCCGAAAATAAAAAGACAATATGGGATCTATCTACAACCTCATATGCACAAAAAATATTCGCACCGCCTCAATATTGCAGGCCTTTCTAACTAGTTATACCGATGTATTAAGTTGTAGCGATGTATTATTATTTATAATTATGTTTAATCATATTTTTTTAATTAGAAATTTGATGTTTCAAGTTTAGAATTATGTTTAAAAAATTTCTTTAAATTTTTTTATTATTTAAAAATCATTTAAATTGATTTTTTAACTATTTATAATTAATTAATAAATTTAAATAATAAAAATTATATTAAATTAAATATCAGAAAAACAAAACAAAAAAAATAATATAATATACTCGCGTCATTTCAAATAACAAAAATAACAAAAATATAATGTCTAGGTAAAAGGTGGACCCCTCGTGCCATTTCAAATGACAATAGTGTTTTGAACAGTAGCGTTTTGAGAATTTTTTACAAATTGACATTTTAGGATTTGTTTTTAGCAGTGTAGCATTGTGAGAAAAAAAAATCATTATATGAGTGGCAAAAAAGAAAATTTAAAGTCTTTGTTGATGAGTGAGAAATATTAGTTGAACCACCAAATACCTGAATAAATTGTTATCACTGGCCATTATATTGATGGTGGGTGAAGCTTCAAAAGAGAGTTTTGGGTTTTGTAAAATGTACTTGTACCAATGCAATTTTTAAATGTTTGAAAGCTTGGAGAACTGAAAATAAAGCTTTTTTTTTTTGTATATGTTGACAATGCGTAACCAGTAACCACCTCATTTTAATGAGACAGTGTTAGCTTACTCATATATGACTTGTTAAAGTTTCTTAATTATTCAAGTCTGTATTGCAAGTGTTGGTATCTTTCTATATGAGATCCAGCTATATACCGAACCACCTTAGAAGCCACCCTACCATTATTTTTCCTTGTTGAAATTGGGGTTGTGCTGTGCCCTTCTGTCATTTTGCTAAGGTAAAGTCGTTGAATGTCAAAGATATGTATGTGCTCCATTATCACGGTTCAATAATGAGGAGGTTGACAAGCTATAGGCCCCAACATCACATGTACACTGATTATTTGCCTTTATTTAGCCTTAAGTAGTTGATCCAAATGAATAAAGAAGGTGAAAAATTGGATCGGGTCTGCCATACATGTTTGTTTTTTCTGCACCTTTTTGCAGGACAGCTCAAAGATTTATGTTTACATCCTCTAATATGTTTGTTCTATTTTTATAGATTTTTACATGCACAAATATTAATATATTTGCAATTTTTAGATGTTAGATATGTGGTGCTCACATGTCCGTCCATCCTCATTTTTTGCAGGACAAGTTAAGATTTTAGACTCGTGTTTTCAATAACGTTTGTCCTACTTCATCCGTTTTTTTACATCCGTTTTTTTACGGGTGGCGGACCTAATCGGATGGGTTGCCCTTTAATAAAAAAATAGAAGCTTACTTTGACTACTATTCTTTGCTTAGCAAAAACTTGTAAAATAGAAAATGAAATAGTAAACATAGAAAATTAACACTTTTTGTTATCCTACACATCCTTTGAAACAAGTGACAGAACCCTACTACCCACTCTCCACTGTCCTTATCCAAGAAACTCCTCCACCCTTCATTTTCCACCTATCTTCTCATCTTGGTGTAATTAAATGCCAAACCATCCAAATAAGGATGCCCTCAACAAAGGGTCATGCTCAATACTTATGAACACTTACATAGAAGAAGGAATGGAATATATACTTGTTCCTTTTACTCCTTTTTACCCAAAAAGTGAAAAAGCAAAGAAAACCAAAAGCATCCAAAAAAAACAACCACCCTAATTTGACCTCACTTTCATCTTCCTACTCCTAACAAGAAATTGCTAATAAAGAACACTTTTGTCACTTAAAGAATCTCATGCCATTAAGGACCCACATTCAAAATTATGCTCTATCATTTGGTGTCATTTTTTGATGTACTAACTTTACTCTTCTCTTTACCTTATCATAACATCTAATAGATATAGCTAATTTGATAGAACTCTATAATATTTCAAAAATCGGACCATATACATCAAATTGGTGAGATATCTGGATCATGATTTGATTATTTTAAATCATTTGAACATGAACAAAATTACATTTGAACAACTTGAATAATCGAACTATAGACAAAGTTGGTTCAGGGTTTAACTAGTTGAACCGGCCGGTTGATTTCAGATCATATTAATAGGTCATATTGCAAAATACATACAATAATGATAAATGATATAGTTGAAAGACAATTGCTTCATTAAGTTAAGTGCTTTATGGCATAACTTACATGTTTTGGTCCTAAAGAAAAGTGAGTTGAAGTAAGAGCTAAACAAATGGATTCATTGAATATATGAAAATAGTAAACAATACAAAAAGACTAAGTAACTTAATGTATCATGTACCTCTAACTTTACTCATCCATGGCAAATTTTCATCGACAACAACACAATTATGAAAATGTGTATCTGATGAACTTGGTATCTTATTATCTTTCTTAGACCATTGCCAAATCTTTGAAACAGAAAAACTTTCACCTTTCCTCGCAATGTTGATTTTCTTGCCTTCAATATCTCCATCATTGGAAAAACCCTCATCATGAATTTCTCTAATTCCCTTCAATCGTCTGATACTTCCATCACCTTTAGAATGTCTCAAAGCAACTTGCAAATCTGAATCACAAACAACATACTGAAAAGATCCCATTGAGTAGCATCTCCTAACATCGAAATTACAGCTACTACTCTCTCCTTCACTTTTCTCAACCCCTTCTCCATTATTTGAACTTCTAAACTTTCCAAGCCTAACAGAAAAAACCCTTTTCCTATTCATTATATGGTTTTCCATATTCTTGTTAACTGAACCAATACCTATAACACAATCTTCATCCCTTTGATCCTCAAACTCAAAAACAGGATTTTTCTCTAACGAAAACCCTTGAGCATAAAGTGTCCCTCTACATAAAGGACAAGTTGAATTTGACAATAACCATGTATCTATGCAGTTAATATGAAAAGCATGATTACAATTAGGTAACAATCTAAGTTTATCTTGTTCCAAAAACTCACTTAGACAAACAGCACAATCAAAAGGCTCTTTCAAACCTACAATCTCTTTGTAAATGAAAACAGGAAGAGCATCAATGAATGCTTGATCCAAACCTGAATCATGAAGATTGAAAAGCTGCTGCAACTGTCTTTGATATGCATCAGATTCAGACATTTCAGGAAACCTATTTGATTGAGAAATTGATGAAGAGCTAGAAGATCTATGCTTTATGAGAAACCTAACAAGCAAGTGAAGAAAACCTAGAATGAAAAATATAATAGCTAATATAACTATGATAAAGAGAATTGCAGGACTTATTTTGTTTCCAGATGAAGAAATTGGAGCTGGTTCTGATGCTTTTTGGCTATAAGGAGTTGAAGAAGAATATGGAGAAAGAATAGGAGGATTTGTGATAGCACCATTGTTAATATGGATTTGAGACTGAAAAAAATGCATTTTTTTTAGAATTTGGGATTTCAAAATTCAAATTAGAGAGAGTATAAATTATGAAGTGGGTTTGAATAAAGTTTGAATCTTTGCTTGATTTGGGATAAAACCCAGCTCAGACATTTGAACAAACAGGTAATGAGCACATTAGAAAGGTTATTAGAAAGAGGATTAAGCGAAGATTATAAAAAAAAATCAGATTTTTTTGTTGGGTGTTTAAAGAGTTTGAGTGTGGTAACAAAAAAATAATTATAGGATAATAATAGTAAGAGGAAAGAACATGGGTGAGTGAGAAATGTCAATGTTTGTAGTTGTAGTTGACCTACCTAAGTTGTTGAACATTTGAAATCTGAGCAAATATTTGAGGTGAGTTAATTCTCTCTCTTTGTGATGAAAGAGAAATCCTAATGATAATAGTAATGATGGTGGTGATGATAATGAGTGATGTAGTGTGTATTAAATTGTGTAATGTGGTTGATATTGTGATGTGAAAATCAAAGACACTTTCAAAACTCAAGGTTTTTTGTTTGGGTCCCATACAATAGGATAGTGTCATTGACAATATCCCAAAGAAGGCAAAATTGTCAATTTATTTGTTTGTGAGGTTGTGTTGAGGGAGAGTGTAGTACTAAATTGGAAAAAGTAGTGCCTTAAACAAGTGTCCCATGTTTTGTTGATTTTAGTAAAATTGCTCTTAAATACGTGTAATATGGTTTTCTTTTACTCAACGTGTGATATGGTTTAAATTGTTGGTTTATTCATCAATCACAACACACTAATACAATTAAGAAGGATATGATTGTTTTTATTTAGATATGGCTAGTTTGTGTGATGTGTCTTGCTTTTACTTCTTACACCATTTTTATAGGAGTTTTTTTTCTTGGCAAATTGAAAATTGAGTTTGTAGAATTAAGAAATTTCTTGCAAAATGAAAATTATATGTTTTTATTTTTAAAATGTGGTTTGTAGGTGGGAGGGATATATGTGTGAGTATGGAATATATTTTAAGTAAATAATCATTAAGTTTTAAAGTTTAAATGTGTGAAATATTATCAATATAATTCTTTAATATATTTAATTTACGACAATATTTATGAGTTTATGAGTATGTTTTTTATTAGTACTTTTATAAATTAGATTGACTAACTAAAGACTCGTTAAGAATAAAATGTTAAGAATAAAATGAGATAATTAAAGATATAACTTGAAATCTAACTTAATATTTAATTTATTAAATTAAGTTTATGAAAGTTGAATTTGAGCTAAAAATTAAAGTTTGTTCAGATGGCTTCGATAAACAAGATTTTCAGACGTGAGTCCCAACGACTCATAAAGGCTCGTAAGGATCAGTTTGCTAAGACAAACGTCCTCCCGCTCATGAAGTTGGGTGGCCAAAGACACGTACATCTTCGTGATTTGGACTCCACGGGAACAGAAGACATAGCGACATAGCCAGTAAATTAAAAATGTTATGTGTTCATGAGTGTCGACAATATCGCTAGAGTCATGGTGCTCCTCAATAAAAGTACGGTAAGCACTACTGGAGAATTTAAAACCAGAATTATTCTTCGTCTGCTCATAATTCACCTCAGTTGGCCGAAGGCCAACGATGACAGCTAAATCGAAGAGGGTGGGAGTAATCATCCAACAGGGAAGGTGGAAAGTGTTCGTCGAAGTCTCTCAAAAACACATGGTAGCGAGGAGCATGGCATTATTGTATTTGGGACCTACCACTGACAATTGGATGAAGTCGTAAATCCCAAGTTCTTCCCACACGAGTTTCTTCTTCTCCTCTACTATATTCAACCATTGAATATAAGCTTATTCAACAGCTTCAAGTGAGGGTGAAGAACAAAATCCCTCTTCTTCAAAAAATAGAAATCTAAGGAGGATTTTCTGAAGACCACAGGATCCCGTCCTAGGAAGCTGAGAAAGAAACCTCGAAAACAAGAAGGTGGTATAGTGGCTCTGGATAGGATCCATGAAAGCAAGAGTGATATATGCAACAGAGTAAGGAAACAACAAGTTTGCGCACTAAGGTCTCTACTAGAATCTTCAAGGGAAGGTTTTGGGGTGTACATCCGCTCATCGATGAAGGTCGGTTCATCAATGCTAACGGCAAAAGGAGGATGTCCTTGAACGGTGCACTTAGGTGCTATTTTTTATTTTAAAAAAACTGGATGGTTCTAAGAAGGAGATGAGCTCGAAGTAGCAAGAAAATGGCGGGTAAGACTGTTTGGGTTTTTAGCGCTAGTTTTCTCAGAAGTATGAATATAGGGAAAAAATGAAAGTTGGAGAGAAAAAGAGTTTAAATAGGGAAAGAGAAAAGGTGGCGAAACATTTTCCTCATAAACTTGGATAAGAGGCGTGTTCAGAGTCAATGAATGATCTCGAATTGTGGAAAATATTAATGAAATTAAAAAAGAAAATTTTAATTTCATTGTTAGTAGTTACTTAATGACCTTGAAAACCAAAGTAATGATGGATTTTCAATTGCATGTTATGAGACGTGACATTTTGGTAAAAAATTAGTCATGATGACTGACAAAAGATATGGCTGAGATGACGTGTACATAAAATGGAAAACATCAACAAAGTGGTTACAATAAAATACCACCTTTCTCCTCTCAGAAGTTGGTCGAAGGAGACATTTTTTAGGGGTATCTGTTACACTTGGATTTTTAAAGTGAATTTTCCATTAGTCATGTCTACTTCAATTAAATTATATTTATCAATGATATTCAACAAAACAATTGTCTTAGAGTGATTAAAATTATCTCTTTTTTTTCACTCGGATGAATGATGTCGTTAAAATCTCCTATCAATATTATAAAATATTATTTAGTTTTAATATTAATGACTAAAGTAGTAAAATTTCAATTTTGGCTGAATTTAATTTTAGAAAAACTTTGTAGAATTAGTATTAAATATAAATTTCAATAATGTTATTCTTACGCCAACATCTTACATCTATATCGTATTTCACTGTTCACCAATACGAGTGTTTACCAATACGATGAACATGCAATATTATAATAATAAATAATTTTTAAATTTGTTTTTAATGTTTTTTTAGATTAAGGAAATAAAGATACAAAATTATGTGATTAACCAACTTTATAACTTTATTAATCAATTTTTTAAATTTCATTAACCAACTTCATTATAATTAAAAATCCGAGCGTTTATTAACCAACTTCATAATTTCACTAACCAATATTTTACATTGTATTGACAAACTTTGTTTTACTCCTAAAAATTATTTTTAATATCAAAGCATTTATTAACCAACTCCATCAATTCATTAACCAACTTGTTACATTTCATTAATCAAATTTATTTTACTACTAAAAATTATTTTTAATATATAAGAGTTTATTAATCAATTTCATCATTTCATTAACTAACTTTTTATATTTCATTATGCAATTTTAATTTATCATTAAAAATCTTATTAATTAAAGTTATTAAATCTCTTAAGAAACTTTTTAGAACCAAAATTAAGATTAATTTAATAATTATTAATATTTAATTTAAAAAATACTAATTCAATAACTCTATAATCTCTCTTTATTATTTCTAATTAATTAATATCTTATTAATTAAAATTGTTTGGTCTCTTAACAAACTTTTTAGAATCAAAACTAAAGTTAATTTAATAATTATTAATATTTTTTATTTTAATTTAAAAAATATTAACCCAATAACTCTATAATCTCTCTTTATCATTTCTAATTAATTAATATATTAAAAATAACTAAAAAAATAGAAAATACCTATTTAACTTATATTTTTAATTAATAAAATATATTAAAAATTATTAATTAAATTATTAAATTAAAAACTAATAACTAATATATATTTAAACACGTATGCAAACCTTAAAAATATAGTTTATTTACCAATAATTTTATAATCTCTATTTATCATTTCTATTTAAATAAGATATATGTGATGTTTTATTTTTTTCTATAATATTATTTTATTAATCCAACCTTATCTTCATGTTAATTAATAAGATAAGATAAAAGTGGTTAAGTCTCTTAAATCTTTTTTTTGCGTCAAAATTAAGATTATTTTAATAATACTATTTCACTGACTAATAAAAAACTAACCCACTACTCACGTTATACTCACCTTCTTAATTAATGTCAATTTTACATTACTATAAATCTATTTCTTCAATTAATTAATTTAAAAAAAAGTTAAACTCACCACATATTCACTACACCCACTTTAAAATGAAATTGAACAACTTTAAAATGAAAATAGACAAAGTAAAGTTTCTATTTCTTATAGATAATTCACTTCACCCACATAAATATGAAAACAATGTTTCAATTTCTTATAAGTTTCAAGTTTTACTTTAAATAATAGATAACATTTAATGTAAATTGAATTAAGTGAGGGAGCGGTAAAGAGAAAACACTACCATTTTTTTTTCCACTCCTTTTTAGAAATGCTAGCAATTTTTCTGTTCACTTCTTCTTTTATTTATGATTTATGATATCCTTATTCTTTCTCCCTTCATTTTTATTTTCTATTAAAAATTTGCTTATGTATAATCTATCATTATAAAATTAAGGATTTCTATCACTAACACACACAGTTATAATATTAAAACTAATAATAAAACATGTAATTTTATATAAGCTTCAATGTTTAAACAATTAAGCTTTAAGCTTAAACAAATATTATATGTATTTAATTGTAATCCTTTTTTTAAGTTTGTTTTTAAACAATAAATTGTCAATCTAGATAATATGGTTATTTCCCGTTTCTTCAATTTTAATTAGATTGTTCTCTTTTTCTTAATTTCCATATTCAATTGTATTATTGTTGTTTGTTTGTTTTCTACTAATTATTTTTTCACTTTTAGAGAAATCAAAGAGAGGAGATGTTAGCTTTTATCATGTAACAAATTGTAGTTGTGTGATCAATATGGAGGTGAAGTTCTTTCTATAATATATTTTTAACATAATTTCTCAATTTTCAGCTTCATTTTTTTA